TTAAGCAAAAATTATTATATCTATATAAAATTAATTTACTATAATAAATTACTTGCTATACTATAAATTAATTAAATATAAATATATATTTTAATAAAATATAGTCAAAACTTGATATAACGAATTTGATGTTCAAACTAATTAGACCTTTATTATAAGAAAATTCATTATCACTATAATGAATTATTCTGTATAATAATAGATAATTCATTATAATAAAATATTTTCTAATTAGATCAATTAAAATAGTCAATATAATCATTTAACTATAAGTTAAAAAATTTAATTACATTGCTCTTTTTTTATTTCTCCTATCCTCGCTTTTGTTTAAATTTATTTTTTATTTTATTTCTCCTTTTCCTGATTTTTTTCATTTTTGTTGATTTAGTTTTTTTTTGTTTAATTTTCTTTTTTCCATTTTATCTTTAATTTATTTTTTTATATTTTTTTAGTTCTACTTACTTTCCTTTGAATTTTTTCATTTTTTTATTGATTTAGTTTTTTTTTGTTTATTTTTTCCTTTTTTCACCTATTCAGTCTTTTTTTACGTTTTTTATTTTTATTTTTTTTATATTTTTTTTTTAAATTTTATCAATTTTTTTATGTTTATTTTTTTATTAATATAGTTATTGTTTAATTTTTTTGTTTAATTTTCCCTTCATTCTTTTATTTTTATTTTTTTTTATTTTTAATTTCATTATTTTTTATTTTTTTTTATATTCAATTTTTTCATTGATTTATATTTTTATTTGATTCTTTCTTTTTCTTTTACCACTTTTTTCTTTTCTCTCTTCTATTTTTTTTTATTTTTATTTTTATTTTTAATTTTGCTTTTTTTTTTACTTTTATTTAGTTTTTTGTTTTTTTTTTTTACTTTTTTTTTATTTATATTTTATGTTTTTTAAATTTTATCATTTTTTTTATATTTATTTTTTTCATTGATTAATTATTTTTTTATATTTTTTTTTATTTAATTTTACCCTTCTTCTTTTTGATTTTTTTTACTTTTGTATTTATTTTTAGTTTTATTTATTTTTAATTTCACTTTTCTTTTTACTTTTATTTTATAAATATTAATTAAATATTAATAAAAATTTAGATTAGTTTTAAATATTAAAAGATTTATTTTAATTAAAAATTTATTAAATAAAAAATTTAAGTATTAAGTTTAATTTTTTATTTTTTTTTTTTACTATATATTTATTTTATTTTTATATATATTTTATTTTATTTTATTTTTGGATATTTTATTCTTTTTTAGTTTTTTTACTTTTTATTTAGTTTTTATTTTTATTATTATTTTTTTTAGTATTTACTTTTCATTTGTTTTTATTTTTTATTTTTATTTTTTTTTATTTTTATTTTTTAGAACCAGTTTTTTAGATTTTGAAAACTAACTAGTAAATTGAATTTTTTCTTAGAATAAATAGACTTTAAATTTCTCTGAGAATGTTTACTAATATTCTTTCTTATCTTTTTTAGAACTGATTTTTTTTAGACCTTAGAAATTAATTGGTAAGTTGAATTTCTTCTTTTTGAGATTAGCAGATTTCTTTAGAACATTTATTAATGTTCTTTTTTATTTTTTTCTATAAAATAGTTTCTCTTTAAAGTAATATTCATCTTTTAAATTTTTATTGTATTAAAATAAAAATTTGTTATAAATAAATTTGTTAAAAAAGAATTATTTATATATATGTATTTATAAAATTTTCTTTGTACATTATTATATAGCTTTTAACTAATAAATTTAATATAATAAGATTTTTTAATATAAAAAATTTGTATTACACTAAAGATTTATTATTTTGTAAAATTTGTTATATTAAAATTCATTATAAAAAGAGTTGACTATATACTTAAATGTAGTAAAATAATAAAAATAAGTAAAATAAATTATAGATATTAAAAGAATTATAGGTAAAATAAGATAAACAGAATAAATAAGTTGTTCAGAAAATATAGGAGAAATAAAAGCAACAGGCAAAACAGAAATTATTGTTGATTACTATTTAATGCAGTTGGAAATCATCTAATATAAGATCATTTTTGATTGGTAAATCTCATGTAATATTTGAAATTATAGTTTTTTCTATTGATAATATTTAATTTTTTGAATTATAATTGATATAATATAATAATATAATTTGAGATAATTATATATTTATTAATAATTATAAATAATATAATTATTTGATTAAGCCTAAAATAATATTATAATTAATTATAATTGATAATAAATAAACATCATATAATTACAACTCATTATAATATTATTAAAATTAAATTATAATTAGTTATAACTTATAATAAATAAATATGATAAATTGTAATTAGTTATAATACTATCTTTAGCTAAAATATAATATTTATTATTAGTTTTTTAATGTTACAAAAAATATAATTTTGATATTATTTAAATTTTTTAAAAACTTTTAAATATTTAGAATGATATTTAAATTTCAAATGGAAATCTAAAATTATTAAAATATTTAAATACTATTAATAACTAGGGAAAAAAGACTGTTATTAAGTTTGAAATGATCTTAACTAAAAAAATTCACACTGGTATTTACTTTATCTAGATTTTTGTATAAATCAGCATATTGAGTAGATAAGTATCAAGATATTTTATATTACCTTATATAGTTTTATATAGTCCTTTATTTTGTTTTGAATTAACAATATATTTTATCTAAATAATTAATATTTGAAAAATTAACAAAATTTTATTTTATATAATAAAGTAATATTTCATATTTTATTTCAAAATTATATTAATAGCTTCTAATAAAAAATATATTTATAAAATGTTTTAGCTTTTTTAATAATAATATTTAGAAAAATTAACATTTAATTATTATTAAAAAATTTAATTATAAAGTATTAGTAAATATAGATTTCTATAACTTATTAATATGTTATACTTTTCTTACTTTTTTTCAATTAATTAAATAAAATTATACATTTTAAAAAGAAATATATAGGCAGTTAATAATTAAATTATTTAGATATTAAATTTACATTAATAATCAATAATTAATTAATTATACAAATACTATGTATTTATAATTGATTTTATAATTATTATATTAATAATTAGTAATTTACTTTAATAATTTAAAACTTTATTAAAAATGAAGAATTACTTAAATTTATACTGATAATACTTATAGTTTTATCTTATATAACTTTTATCTTTATATTTTAGTTTAATTTTTTCTTGATAAATAATAATTTAGATAGAATTTTTATTAAAATTTCTTTAATATAATTAATAGATATAATATTTTTATTATTTATCATTAATATTCAAGCTTTTTTTTAATATAAATTTGTTTATTTTTAAAATAATTAAAGATAGAAATATTTTTCTTAATCTCATAAAAATTGTTTAATTAAAATCAAACAAAATTTATAATTATATTTGATTTTATTTTAATAATTAAAAAATTATTACTGATTCTTATTTTATCTTAAATAATACTTTTAATATATACTTTAATCTGAAATTCTTCTTAAAATCTTTGATTTACTTGTATATTCTTTTGAAGATTAAAGTTGATCTTTATTAAATTATTTTTATAGATTTTATCAAAAACATAATTTTTCAAATTAATAAATTCATTTATAAACACATTTTTTATTACAAAAAAAAATGTTTTTTTTTTTGAGTTTTATTTGATTAGTATATGAACTTGTATGAAAATTAAGACATTTAGCAACTATTAAAAAAAAAAAATTTAATAATATCAATAATTCTCCTAATAATATATAGCTTATTACTTTTATTTATTAAAATTTCTTATATATATAGCTGTTATTGATCTTTTTTAACATAATAATAATTAGTATAGTTATTAATCATTTATCTTGTTTTAATTAAGCGATAATGATAATTATATTACTGTAGTTTAACAGAACTATTGGTTGATTTAATAGGAATTATAGAAATTGAATTCATTAATTATAATTATTAGATAGCATTTTTATTTAAAATTTTGTATGTTAATTAAAAATAATAAAAGAAAGTAACTTTTTATTATAATAAAAACATTACAGAAATATTAGTAGTATTTATTTTTTTTTTAACTAATAAGAAAAAAACTTAATTATATATGTTTTTTTTTTTTTTATAAATTCACTTCAAATGAACTAAAAACCAGATTCTTCATCTTATTGTATTTAATTTTTATTAATAATATTAAAATAATATTAGAAAATTTCTTTTAAGATTAAAAATTTTGATTTTTTAATTTTATAAATACTGTAGCAAAATCTATCAATGCTATACAAATTATTATTGACAAAATTATATAAATAATGTGATATTAAACATTCGATAGAACAATTCGATCGTCATTTATTATACCTTGTATCACCATAGAACCATTGTTCCCAACTACGTATAATGAGAGTTGGAAAACCCGCAATTTAATTAAAATGCGCCATATATTTAGTAAACACATATATTGATTAGACGTTTCTTTTTTTCTTGGCGTCCTTTGCATAAATTAGTATTTATATGTGACGTTTCATTAATAGAAAATTTTTTAGTATAAGTATCCAAATTAGATATTACAATTTCCTTACATCTAAGAATTCTTTTCTTGTAAACAATAACACATTTCGTCAAGTAACTAACTAATAAAATTATTCTTTTCCAAAATAAGAAATCATTTGTTAAACAGAAAAAGTTTGTTTTTCAATAAACTTCATTTTCTTAATCACTTTTACAGGAAAGATTGTTAGTCAATAATCGGATAATGCCGATAGCTGCATAACATTAGTCATAAATCACATCACATGAAAATACCTGGCGTAATAAATTACTACGCTTTTCCATGCGCCGTAAACATGATACTACTAGCATGTTATTTGAAATTCACCAGGGTTTAATTGTCGGAGATTTTCCCCCTTTATAAACTCGTGTTACACATATATTGAACATCAATTTCTAGTCAGAAATTCGTTCGCTTTTTGTGTATATCTGGAGGAATATGAGATGCACTTTGCAGGAAAAAAATTCTGCAACACCTATAAGGTGGGACACTACATGCGATGCTCGTACGTATTTACGACAAGCATATACGCGCTCACATTATTTCCCTTACCTTTTTCACCACGATTAAAAATCTTTGATCTGCCATCATTACTTGTGTCGCTCTCATGTTTAGCAATTTAAAAATGAAATCTATATGGCGAGAGCTGTATAAAACTTACCCGTGCATGCATTCCATCATTCCATGGTATTCTTTTTTTTGTCGGGCGTGTGCAGTAATTTGTTGTCCCCTTTGGCAACCACTTACAAGGTATTTTGTATTGCAGAAAGATACATGAAAAAAAAATGCATTTCCTACGCTTAAATGCGAAAACAAGGAAAGGGTGGTGCGTGCGTTTCGAGTCATTAGTTCATTGATGATCGACACATTATATCACGTGATTCACCAAAATGACAATCCCGGGTGGGCTAAACTAGAATGACTCATGACCCATGTAATCTTTCTGTAACACCAAACCATTCAATATATAAACAATTTGTAAGAACAATGAAAAAAAAAAAACGTAATTTTATCATTTTCCCAATTTTTTCTTAATAAAAAATTTTATTTTATTTTTTTTTTTTTTTCCTTTTAAAAAAAAAAAAAAAAGAAAAAAAAAAAAAAAATGTCAAACCTATCTATTGAAACTATTGAAGAGATCCTTAGTTACGTGGATGAAGACGACATAAAAACCTTTCACTCATTATCACTAGTTAATAGAACATGGTGTCAACTCGCGATTCGATATTTATGGAAAAAACCGTTCAGCATTAAAAAAGGTTCACCGAAAAATCTTTACAAGATCATTCCAATCATTTTATCATACCTCGATGAACAACAAACATCCGTCCTTAAAATACAAAAAACAAAAGTTAGAACTAGAAGCTCGAAGAATTATATGACACCGCCATCAATTAATTACCCCTCATATATAAGACAATTAGACTTTAATAAATTATTTTCATTAATAACGGAATGGATAAATAAATCACATAGACCAAAATTTAAAAAAAACTATTTTATTAAGAATAGTGACAAGTTTACTTTTGATTTTTCAATTTTCGAAGAAGATGAAGAATATGAATTAAATTTTAGTTATGATCGTTTTATTGAACGATGTTGTTTGAAAGATCAAGAAAAGTTGGCCTTTTTCGAATACATTTTTAAGATCATTATAGCGAAAAGTAAGGGGATCGAAAAGCTCTTTGTTGAAATTTATCATGAAGATAATGAAATACCTTACACGATACCCAAAGATTTCTTTGGATATATTTTTAGGTTAAAAGATGTCGCGAGATGTTTTTCGGGATTATCGGAATTCACATGCGAAGGGAATTTTCATAAGGCATCATTAATTAACGAGATTAAAAAGTATTCTCACGAGATTAAAAAATTAAACATTTGTCCTTGGGATAGAAATTATGTTAATGATTTAAAACCAAAGAAAGATTTAAAAGAATTATTAAAAGTACAAAAAAATCTTAAATCATTCTCATTTTCAGTTGATTCGGATATTGAAAATAATATTATAGAGTGTATACAAGGAATGGTGGTGAATACTTTAGAATCTTTTCAAATGCAACTTGGAGAAATTACAAATAATGAATTAAAACATTTAACAAAATGTAAAAATATGAGGAAACTCTCTTTTGATAGAGTTTATTTTGATGAACCAATTAATGCTTTAGGTAAAATCATTTATCCCGAACTTGAGGAATTAATATTTTTTAATTGTGTATTTTTGAATCAATCTATAGATATGTTGAAAGAATTTTTTAAGAAGAATGGAAATAATTTAAAAATTGTTCAATTAAATCAAAATAATTCGGATATTCCTGGTATACTTGATTATATATCAAAATATTGTTCCAATCTAAATGATCTCTGTGTAAATATTGATAATCAATCTGATGTTGATTCACTTTTTAAGATTTTACAATCCAAGAATAATTTAAGATTACTTAACGTTGGGTATTGTAATAATGATAAACCAAAATTTAAGGCTAATGAATTTATGAAAGAATTCACCGAAATTTTTTCCACAACGAAAATTGTAAAGTTGGATATCAGTAATTGGGAAATCTCTCTTGATATCTTTAAGAATTTCTTTGAAAGATCCGGAGAATTCTTAAAAGTTTTTGAGGGTTCTTGTATCGGAGACAAGAAAGAATTGGAAGATGTAATTCAATCAACCTCAGAATTACATAATAGAATTTTGAAAAGTTTTGTGGTCATAGAAAATGGTGAATTCAAAAATGTTAAGATCGTGTGGAAATAAGAAAATAACTATTTATTATTATTATTATTTATTTATTATTATCACAACACTTTATATATTCTTACGAGAGAAAAAAAAAAAAAATAAAACTTAAAGTAGCAATATTATAATTATAAATTAAATAATTATTTGTTTTTTAAAATAAAAAATAATTATATTCTTAATTTATTTTGTAAAAATAATGTATAATCTATTATAATAATTATAATTATAATAAAGAAAATAATTTAATCTTTTTTGATTTTGAGATGGTCGTAAATGAATGTCAATAACCTGTCTTTTTTTTTTGCTTTCGATAGATACATGCGTTGCGTTCACAATTAAACACGTGACTTGAGCTGCGGTATGTTTTGTTATAAAAACATCCTTGTCCTTTTCCGAAAAAGTTTGGGAAAATAAACATTAGAGGTTTCCATTAAGGGTGATCCAATGATTGTTATGCGAAACTGCTTGCTTCTCATTTATTGGTTGAATATTATATTTTCCAATTGGTAGCTCCCGCAGCAGTTGCATCAAAATGAAAAACTCGCGTTTTCCAAATTAATATTCCAAGTTGATTAAAATATATGCATAGTTTAGATCAGTGTTGGACAATGTTTTGGACATAGATTTCCCAACACTGGTTTAGGCAATTGAGTCGGAGTTCTATCAACATCGACATACAGTATATGGGTTCACATATAATAAAATTTCACCATTTTACTAATTCTGTTTTTCACTTCATGGTTCCGATCCTTTCGGTTACATTGATTGAGATAAACCATGTACATTTCAAGATGGATTTGCAATTTTTTTTTTTGATTTTTCAAAGAAATGTGCCGAGGTATTAAAGCGCCACATTCTTTACAAAAGATTAAATACCAAATATGTGTGAATGTCAATAGCCACCAAATTTTTAAAACATCGATTTCTTTCATGCTTCATGGCTTAAATACAAACAATCTTTGCGATTATATTTGACACGTAATTTTTTTTTTTTATTTAAACAATTCATTTCCGCGTTGTTTCATCGATTTATTCATCTTTCTTTTCCAAGAATTCGAATTAAGATGGCTTTGCAAAATGAAGTTATACAAGCAATAGCAGGATTCATTGGAACCGCCCATTTTACTATTCATGGGCAATTTTTAAAAATATATTATTATTTGACGACATATGATAATTATTAATATGAATTTGATTATATAAATTGAAGGACTTGGTGACAGTAATACCATATGTATCTTTAAATTTATACATTTTATCTATATTGGCAAACATTTCGTTAAAAAGAATTCAATCGCGTAGAGCAATTCTCACCACAGCGTTCTCATTTGGTGGTCATTAATGATAAATGTATGGCTTTGGGCTAAAGTCTCTGATGGTGGTAAGTTCTTTTACTTGAAATAACACGTAAAAATATACGGTATTCATTTGTCTCAATAAAGGTTAACGCATATGTTTTTTTACGAACATACATTAGTATTAAATCCTGCTAATTAATACATTAGCGTTAATAGCTGATGGTAAATATGAACTACTTCAAGGAATTTACTACGTTATTGCACAATTCGCAGATGCATTGGTGGGATCATTGCTTATACAATTAATTCCGATGCAGCTATAACAACTCTTGTTGGTACATGGCACTACCTTTGAAATTATATTTTACAAACAAATAAAATTATTTCTTTTTTTAAGGGAATGGAACTTCCGTTATTCAAGGATTAGTAATGGAATTGATTACTACTTCTGTATTTAACTTTAGCTGTGCTCGTGCTAGCTTTTGAAAAACATGGCGGATTTAATGCAGCTTTTGGAATGGGCTCTTCTTTATTAATTTCCGTACTTGTAGGTAAATACCATTATGTTAATTCTTTTTTTTTTTTTTATTGAAAACCGATTTTTTTTTAGCTGGACCATATACAGGAGCAAGTAAGCGATCTAAACGCGTCAGCAGGTTGAAATCGATCATTTTTGAAGCTATTGACGCGAAACGATCCTTAATTGCATCTTCGTTGTATAATTAGTTTGAATCCAGCAAGGACTTTCTTGCAAAAGGAAAATCTATAGTGATATTTGTATTTATTTCGTCGGACCCGTGTTCGGAAATTTGTTAGCCGTTATATATTTTAGCACCTTTAAAAGTCTTTAAGTAAATATAATAGAATTATGACAAGAGAAGGAAAAAAAAAACAAAAAAAAAATTTTTTTTATTTAGAATAATAATACTACTAAAGGAACTGATGAATATGATGATGATAAACGGCCTAAATCAAATGTCTGATGTAACTTTATAACGACAACTTGTGTATATTGTATAATAATTCATTCCAATTATAGATCATATCGTTTGACGACAATTTTATTACGAAATTATCCTTGATCAATTTTATTGTTGCTTTTTGACTCTTCGATAGGTTTATTGCTATCATCATAATTGCCCTTGCTAACTTGAATTCTATTAAAATGAGGTATTATAGCTGTATCTCGCGGCATATCTCCATGAACTTTTCTCTATTTTGATTTTTTTTAAAAAAAAAAAAGATTTTTTTTTAATGTCAAATGTAAAAAATTTTTTTTTTTTTAAAAAAATAAATAATATTTTCTTTTTCTTTAAAATTTACCATTCTGTAGGTTTTACCGATTCCAAGCCTAAAAAGTAAAAATAAAGAAATATATATATTACAAGATAAATTATAAAATAAAATATTCGATCATTTAACTAAAATGAATTCTAACATACTTTGGTAAACCTCTATTTAATCCTTCTAATAGTACACATGCTTTACATAATTCATTACTTGACATATATCCGCATCTCTTACACACTCCCTGAGTGGGTAATTTTACTTCTTTTTTAACTTCAAATGCTTCTCCTGAATGTATAATATCTTTAAAATAAAAAATCATTAAACGTTTAAAATTTATTATACATTCAATTCAAAAAAGCTTTTCTTATCCATTAGTTACCAATAATAGCGCTAGGTCTGATAACTTCTAAATCCTTTAAAAATGTCCTAGCATGACCTCTGTATGCATTAGGTGAATATATACATTCTGTTGAAAAATAATCAAGTTTCTTAAAATACGCGTACCTAAAAACAGCAAATAGAATTTTAACATACTTCGAAATCGAAAAATGAAATAAAATTAGGGCTCAAATAAATCATTCACATGACGATTTCTTTCTCATAAGTGTATTTAAAAGGTTTGGATCGTCGTACACATCCGTCCCCAGTCGTACATATCTCTGTACACCTTTGAAGCCTTGCTATATCTCCTCTCAAAACTAATCAAGAGAATATAAATTAATATCAACCATGTAGATATATATTTTTAATCCTTATATTATTTTTTTAAAAAAAAGTAGCAAACGTACTATTCATTAAAACTGTTTCGGCAATATCATCGGCATTATGTCCTGTTACGATATGGTCCACATCAAGCATAACAGCTCCTCTATCTAATGCTTGACGTCTAAATACACCACAAAAAGTACCTTAATTCAAATAAAAAAAATAGCATTAATTTATTTCAAGAATAAGATAAAAAAAATTTTAAATGTTAATTCCTACAATTATTTTTCAATCCAACTTCCTTTACAATTTGATCCATACTCCATCCATATAATTCGCTATAAGAAACAATTTTTAGAGGTAATTCGTATTGCTGCTGATTCCTCTTCACTGTCTTTTATTATTAATTTATTTTAAAATAAAAAATATAAAACATCAACGTTTTATTGGTATTTTAGTTGATTTATTAAGCTTATACCTCTAATGAATCATCCCTATAACCAGTTATCCCTTCATCAATTGATAAAAGAAACATCTCTAATCCATATTGATATCTTTCATTTAAAAGTTTCATAACATGAGCCAATACAGTCGAATCTTGAATACAAAATCAATAAATTTTCTTGAAAAAAAGATAAATAAATAAAAATAAACAAAAAAAAAGGAGTGAACCATAATCATACCTTTTCCTCCAGAAGCCGCAATGGCAACTTTATCATTTTTTTTAAATAGTTTATTATCTATAATAGTATTATGTATTTCCGTTTCAAATACATAATAAAAACATTCCCTACAAACTTTTTGTCCTGTTTTAGGTCTTTTTACAGCCGCGCGTTCTTTATTACATATAACACAATGTCGGACCATATTGAAAAAATGAAATTGAAAATTATTTAAATTGTAGAGGAATTGACGTGTAACGTATTTAATATCTTGGAGATTGCAAATCCGATTTGCGCAAAATCAAAGTCATTTATACCCGGAAAATCATCCGTCAACATGAAACCACCTCAAAAATAAGTATAAAGCGAAAATAAAAACAAAAGATCCAATGTTGATTTTGTAGTGTAAGCGAGCGACTTTTTGAGATGATTAAAAAAGTCGTGATATTGTGAATATAAAAAAAAATAATATATTCCCAGGATTCATACTTGTTTTTTTTATCAACAATGATGATTATATGACGTGTATTTCACTGTGTCATAAATTTTGATCAAAGACGAATGTTTTTTGATTTTCGCAATGTTGATCTTTGTTGGCGCCAAAAATACTGTAGCAACGTTATACATGCAATGCAATACGTAATCTTGTTAAACATTCTATTGATGATATTCTAAGAGGTATATAAACAAAGCAGAATCAACCAAAAAAAAAAAACTCGACGTTGTTTATTTGTTTCTCACTTTCGTATTAAATTTTTATTTTTGTATTTTACTTGCTTGATTTGGTATGTATTATTTGTCTTAAAAAATCAAAAATATATTGCTGCGGATTATAATAAATTTTTTAAACTCTTGACGTATTTTAGAAAATTCATTTAGATAAATTTTCCTTGATCGTATTATCATGTCAATTCACTTGTTTAAATTTTAATATAAAACCGTGAGTTATCATAGAATCTCATCAGGTATGTGTCGAATTTCATATTTATTTTTACTCTTGGTATAATTTAACTGATGATTAATGCTTTATTTAGGTCATAGATTATTAGATAAATCACGGTTTGCATTTGATTGTAGATTATATAACAAAGGTTTCTAAATTTTATACTGCGTTGAGCTTTATTATTTAATTTTATAATAGATTATAAAATAAAATTTAATTAATTAATTATTTGTTTATTTATTTATTATTTCCTCCCGGTAATAAAAATTTTAATTTCACATCAACTCAGATTTATTTTACAAAAACAATTTGACTAATTTTTTTCCACCTTTCTGAGATTGGCTTGTTAGTGATAGACTGGTACTAGAAACTTGGTAGAGTATTATAATTATTATGGATACCTTGAACATATATAAAAGCACCGAGAGTGTTGAAATTTATGACACGGTAGACTCTTTGGATACATGTGTTGCGGCCGATTATTCACTTGTTGAACAAACAATTGAAGTTGAAATGAGTTTGGAAGCTTTGAGTAGTATATTAACAAATAATGAAGAGTGGCAAGTGAATGGAACTGTTCCCTTCATGATAAGTAGTCATGCGTTAGAGATGCTTTTACATTATTTACCTACTCTAGAAGATTCTGCCAAAAAACAGCTCATAGAACGTTTAAAGTGTTTTGCGGAATATTCTGATATGAATAAATGGGTGATGTTTAAAGCGAATACCATTAGTAGACTTTTGAAAGGCATTATCTGGAAATCATGGCAAAGTAATGATGTTGCAGAATTAACTATGAGACTTTTGGAAATCATTTGTTCCTACTCCGTGAAAGTTTCCGATGTGAAGTTAATATTGAATATGATTTGTAACAAATATGAAGGAGATATATCTTACCAAGGAGATTCGGCTTGGTATCAAGGTGCATTGGTGAAATTATTATATTCAATTTCACAAAAACAGAGCACATTAAATTTCTTTTATCTGAAAGGAATCGATTCAGGAATAGAGTTATCACCGATAGAAAAATTTCCAACAAATGGTTATTCCTTGTTCACTTGGATTAAGTTGGATGCGGCACCATCACCAAAGGAACATACCGGTTTTGGGGATTTTTCTCCGAGACTTTTTTCTTTCTTTACAGAAAATGGCGATGGGATAGAAGCTTATTTCGAGAACAATGAACTTTGCTTCTCCTGTAAAAAAGGACGGGTTGTCTCTACCGCCGTTATGAATAATTTAAAGTTCACTCAAAGAAGATGGTATTTTATAGTTATAACTCATAGCACTTCAAAACGCGGATGGACTTCAACTCCAGCAGAAATAAGTGTGGTCGTTGATGGTAATATTACATTCAAGTCTCGTTTAGAATATCCGACCGAGTTTTATTCACGTTCGTTCAAATATTGCGCAATTGGTGCATCCGTGTTTGTAAATTCCTCAAATTCTGACGATGAAACTACGCACATGAATGCTTCGATGTCAACGAGTAGGTTTTATAATTGTTTACGTGGACAAATTACAACTTTATACATGATAGCCGACGTTCTTACAAAGGAGCAAATTAATGATCTTTATGCTCTCGGGCCGAATCATGCTTCTCAATTTCATCCTTATCAAGCAAACAAAACATTATTGAAAAGTAACCTATTTGATGGAATTACGTTTTACCAAAAGATCCTTTTCATCTTTCATGTGAAAGCGTCAGAAGATAAAAAATGTTTTAATTTAGCTCCTCGTGCTTCATCATCTCAAGAGCCAATTGCAGCTACTTTACTTGGCATAGAAAAATGCTCAACTCTTAGTCTTCAAAATGCAATACATTGCCTAGGTGATGTTGAAATTCTTTTCCCAATGATTATGAGATTTGATGACTTGGATTCAGTAAATTTGCAAGCACCATTTGGGTCACAAGATGATTTCTTCGATTCCGAAGGACCATGCAAGTCTTTCTTTGCTCTTTTATCGTCGTTGCTTCAAAATAATCTAAGGAGTCAGTCTCATGTTTTCAAATCCCGTGGGATTAAGGTCATTAGTCTCTTACTTCAACAAGTAGGCCCTCGACATTTTTCAATATCAGCCTTCAAAAGTATGATGGCATTAGCAGGCACCTTATCATCTAATGAGGCGCTTTCGCGTGAAGTTTATTGGAATCTTCTTTTTGAATTTCGATTATGGATGTATACTTCTATTGAAATTCAAGACTATTGTATTGATTTTTTGAAAAGTTTTGTTGATGCAAGGAAACAAATGTGTAGAAAATTGTTTGGCATTCAATTTTTCTTGGATGTTTTACAAAATATCTATTGGTATAAACAAGGAGAATATTCTGCTTCGCATAGGCATACAACAGCAGGAGTTACAAGACCTAAGCCATCACAACTCAAGGAGCTCCGAGGGAAGGTGATCTCTATCATTCATTCCTATTTTAAGGATAGCATCACAAAGGACGAGGCACTATTTTTGTTTAGGAATATTTTATATTGCGAGGATGATACTCATGTGCACGAGATATTGACGTTACTCTTGGATTTATTGCAAACAAATAAGGAAATGATCGATATCTTTGTTTCTTATGGAGGATTCGAAATTATATGTGAACTTTTGAAACGACGTGATGAAAATGTTCGTATTGATTGTATCAAGATCGTAACCTTTCTAATAACCAATCCCTCAACGCCGATAAGCTTTGTCAAAAAATTACGTTTTGAAGATAAGGAACCTGCTAACCTGATAAAATTAATGCATAATGCACCAATGACTATCGATGTTTATCATGCTTTATTATTCTGGTCATTAGAGCATTATAGCGATACTTTTGAATTTGTGGATAAAAACGACAATGAAATTTCTCTATTAGTTTTGCCCAAAATAAAAAACTTTCGGATAATTCTTGTTATATTGGCACTTTTAGATTCAGAAGGAACGAAAAGAATTGTCCAATGTAGAATTCTTGAAAATTTAATTGGAATGTTCAAGCAAAACATTTCGTTTTGTACTGAACTCTATAAATTTTGGTTTTGGCAACGTTACCTTATTCGCCTTGTACCGGTTTATGGAGGTCAAGATGGAATGCTTGCAGAACGAGACAATAAAGAAACTGCTGATTGGGCTTTAGAGTTCATTGCAATTGTTGTATGGAATTTATTTGAAATTGATAAAAATGCTTATAGAACTGTAGAGGAAACTATTATTTCTATTTGGACTAGTGGTCGTCAAGATTGTTTAGAAAGCATTCGTTCTTTACTTACTCATATGCTTTCGCTTGCATCACAAGAAATCAAAGCTTCATTTAGCGCTTCGTTTTCTATCACGAAATTGGTACTGGGTTTATTTTATTTATTAATTTTATTAAAAAGTTAAGAGATTGTCACATTTTTACAAACTTAAATTTTTATAAAAATTTTTGTTTCAACAGCAAAATGTGATGCACTTGTTGACTCTATCAGAAGAAATCCTTTTTAATCACAAAGATCTGGTACAAGCTGTTGTTCAAAAAAACTCTTCCCGATCCGTAGGAAATTATTCGACCTCAAGTAATTCTTCTGTATATGGTGAGTTAAACTTTAGAAAAGTTTCATTTATTATTTATGTATAATGTTAATAAATATATCTTTTTTTATTTATTTATTTTTTTTTTAGAACCTGTTCCTCTCAAGGTAATAAAAGTTAATATATCACAATCATTCGAAAACTTTAATCCTAATTTTTCAAACATTACTTCATAGAAATATGATGATATGATCTTCCAAAGTGCAAGTAATCCGTGGGAAGAAAACCAATCCCTTTCCATTATATATTTAGAGGTTATAGATTCTTTAGATAAAACAGGCAATTGGAGATTAGACTTACCATCTAAGAGGGAAATTGTCAGTGTTAAGTCTCTGTGAATTTCCTTTGATGCTAATGTTGAGTAAATTAATAATGTTATTGATATTTTTAACAGCAACCTGGTGAAATTTGTAGAATGGTTTTAAGAACTTTAATTGCTGGTATTTCTGCCCCGGATAGTGAGCTGCGTAAAAAATCTTTAGACCAGTTGATGGGATTCGTTGAAAGACATATAAAAATTAATTCCGTGAATTCAAAGACCGGAAGAAGGGAATCATCAGATGATGTTTATTGTATTGATAGTGGTATTTTTCAGCAACATATTCTTATGTTATTGGGAGAAATGCACGAAGCTTTCATGTATGATTTAATACATTTATTGTGCCTTATTCAAATTTTAACGTTTCTAACTAAGAAAAAATATAATCTTTCCGTTTAACAACAACAGTACCTCACAAGTGACAAATGGTTCATACGATGAAAAAATATTGTTTGCTTATTATTTTGTAATACATAAATGTAAACACTATTTGGTTCATCTTCGTGAAAATGGATCATTTAATGAAACATTTGACTCATTATGGGTTGGGAAAGATTTCAGCAGCCATGTTTTTGTACAGTTTGCCACATCTCGAAATTGGATATCAATACATGACAAATATATAGTACCCGCGATGAAAGCTGCAAATGAAGATGAATTTACAATGGTGCGAAGGATGGTAGAACGATTTTCGAAGAAGGTCAACCATTTTTTAAATCGTTCCAAGAAAGAAGACTTATTATCCGTCAAATCAGAAGAAGCTTTTGACATTGAAGTGGTTCCAATTGTCAAGTCTTATAAGGACGAGGAGTCAAATCGACTGACAAGTATTCAGGCTGATAAGAAGAATGATGATATTCGAACTTCTAGGAAATGGTTGTCAAAGTTTCATGAATTGACACAAGAGCGCGGTGTTTGGTCTTTAGTACGTCAAAACGATATACATTGGAAACTTGATAGGAAAGAAAATTATTCAAGAATGCGAAGGAAATTAACCATAAATTATGATTATGATGCTCATCGTGAAGCAAGTGCAAAGAGAGACAAGACCCCTATTGTCAATTCTGCAAACAAGGCAAAGAATGTGAACATTCAAAGAATTAAGAAAGCTAATGTAGATAGTTGTAATAACTCGACTCCCATATTAAATGCAGTAGAACCATGGACAGATGGATGGGGATTCAGTGGATCTTCTTTAGTGTCGGAATCTGAAAGTCTTGCCTCATCTGAGGATCAGGAATGGAATCTTATCACTGGAGATAAAATAGTTGAAATAATTGATATCTCTTCAGACATGAAATTATTCTCTACAGATTGTGAAATGATTGTCCTCCTTTCCGCAATTAAGGGAAAGATTGAACTTACATCAACCCATCTTTGCTTCTTTGTAGATCGACGTAACTTGTTACAAGAACTTAATAATATAGAACAAGGATCTATAGTCGTGGATAGTGAGATGTTGCGTGACAAAAAATGGTTAATTTCTGACATCAGAGAAATTCATATGCGCAAATATATGTTAAGACGGAGTGCGCTTGAATTATTCTTGACAGATCAAACAAATTATTTTTTCAATTTTCCAGATCCGAGGGATAATAAGCGTTTATTCAAGAAAATCATATCACTTCGACCAAGTTCAATGATAAATCAGGACACGAAATCTCCAACAAAAATATTTCAACGCTCAAGACTAACTGAGCGATGGAAAACTCACGAGATATCAAATTTTGAATATCTTATGCACTTAAATAGCATCGCTGGAAGATCCTTTAATGATCTAACACAATATTTTGTGTTTCCCTGGATTTTAAATGATTATGAATCTGAAACGATAGATTTGACTAATCCTAATATATATCGTGATTTAACAAAACCTATTGGAGCTTTAAACCCGGACCGCTTAGAACAGTTTGTAGAACGTTACGAAAACTTTGAGGATCCATCAGGGCGAATAAAAAAATTTCTTTATGGAACGCATTATTCAAGTGCCGCCACGGTATCTTGTTATTTGGTTCGATTGGAACCGTTCACTTCTGTTCATATTTCTTTGCAAGGAGGAAGATTCGATCATGCAGATAGGCAATTTCATTCAATACAAGACACATGGAAATCTGTTCTCACTGCAAGTGGAGATGTTCGAGAATTAATTCCCGAGTTCTTCTATCATCCCGAATTTCTTACGAACCATAATGATTTTGATCTTGGTGTAATTACTTTTACTTATTTGGTCCTGTTCATTTTAATTACTAAATTTATTAATCGCTTATTTTAATTCGTGATTAGGTCAGACAAGATGGTACACATGTAGAGAATGTAGTGCTACCAAAGTGGGCGAATTCTCCGGAAGAATTCATTCGTATTCATAGGGAAGCGTTAGAATCAGAGTTTGTCTCGGAAAACCTCCATCATTGGATAGGTAAACGTCAGAAAATTACTTGGAATTGTTTTATTGTGGTTTTCTGTGAACAAATTCAATTCAATAATGTATTTCTTGAATGATTATATAATTAGATCTTATTTTTGGTTATAAACAAACGGGCGAAGAAGCTGCCAAAGCATATAATATATTTTATTACTTAACTTATGAAGGCGCCATAAATATCGATAGTATTCAAGATCCTGTTGAAAGAAAGAGTATTGAGCAACAAATTTATCACTTTGGACAAACTCCGACTCAATTATTAACCGAACCTCATCCAAAGCGCCTTCTCAGCAAGGACTTTTTGAAAAAAGATCTTTTAAACTCGGATTATAATCATCAACGGTTTGTCGTTGAATTGAAATGTGGTCGATTATATTTAGTAGATTTGCCGAATCCAGATAATGAATTGTATTCTATTAATGATTCACAACAAGTTATTACAATTGACGAAAATGGTATAATCGGTTGCCATCGAGTTTTAAGGAAATCGACTGCACCAGAGATACCTTTCACTGTGGAAGTCGATCCAGGTTTACAATATAAGAGGTATTTAAGGAATAATTCGTTATAAATTTTTTGATAAGTTGTTGATTATAATTTAATAACTATTTTCTATCTTTTAGTAAGTTGAGTAGTCCATACTGTTTTGACGCGGTGATCTCACCAAGATGTTTTGCGTGCAGCAAGGATGGAAAAGTTATTATTAGCGCTGGTCACTGGGATAACACAATAAAGGTATCCTTAACCGAGACGGGGCGAACCATCGATAGTATTTCAGGACATGATGATATCCTTTGTTTTTTTCTTCCTTTGATATTTGAATTTTACTTTTGGTCATCACTATTTTACCATCACCCTTAACTCCTTTGTACATGTCGTAACAACGGTAGTGATAAGTGAAAATGGAAGAATCATTGTCACGGGAACTAAAAGTTCAAATTTGTTATCATGGAAAGTCAATTTGACACATGATAATGAATTTTTGAATATTGAGCACACACCGATACATTCATTCTACGGCCACGATGATGAGGTAATTTTTAACACGTTAATATAATAAACATGCGACAATGATGTATATAACAGAGAATTTTATTTTAATAGATTACGTGCGTCGTCGTTAATGCAGAACATGATATTTTAATAAGTGGATCAAAGGTTCGTAACGATACAGGGTGGTTCATGACTAACATCTTGTCACGCATGATCATCTATATAACCAAACATTGATTTTTTTTTTTTAATAAAGGATGGAACGTGCATAGTGCACTCGCTACAAAATGCTCATTATATTCGAACCTTGCGACCCATAAATGATCCAGATGCTACAGTAGAATTTGTTTGTATTTCCATGGATGCAAACATTGTAGTTTACACAGAAGTAAATGTAAGTTAACTTTACTTGAATTTATTTATAATTGTAATAATATTTATTGATTATTTACTTGTACAAAATATTTTTCAGGATGAATATTATCTTCATACCTATAGTGTAAATGGAAAGTTACTTAATTCTATTGAGATAACCAATCGATTAAATCATATGATTTCTGCATCGGATAAAAATGTTATACTTACGGCTAATGAAGAAGGACAAATCTGTGTATATTTTGCCCTTAGGTTTGTATAATTGTTTAATTTTAATTTTTAATTTTTAAATTCGCTTGATTAATATTTTGAATTTATATTATAATAGTTTGGAATTAAGTCATGAATTTAATGTACCATTGGTTGGTAGATGTATTAGGTTAGGTGGTAATAATAGACAATTATGGGTAGCAGGAGATGAGGGTAAACTATTCATTCTTTCACATAATGCTGCACATTACGACAAGTTAATTTAATTGAACTTTGTATTATAATTTATTGTATTGTATTTATAAATTTTTTTTTTTCATAAATATATATATATATAAAAATAATTTTTTATAAAAATTATTTTCATGAGATCAATTTTAATTCCTTTTAACCAATAAATTAAATTTTTCGAAAAACTGTAAAATTACTTTTTCTAACTCTAAATGTACAGTTATATTTAATTAGTACCTGATCCTATAAGAAAAAAATCTAATCCTTTGTTGTATGGCTTGGGATTATTTGGATTTTGTTTCTATCATCACGTATTATAAATAGCTTCAATATTAGACTCAATTTTATGTAAATCATTTTATTTACATAAAAAAATTCAAAATATGGAAACAGTTAACTATATATATTCCAGCGACTCTTAGAACAAAATGTCGGACTTTGGGTAATTTCAAAAGAACTCTTCATTCGCTATTGAACGAATGATGTGAATAAGTACATATTTCGTAACTCCAGCAGATTTATGCTTGAACTAGTTCTTTTTTGCGTTCTTTTAGTATCGTCCTCATCCTATCCCATCAACATGAATATTTAATTTAAATTTATATACATAATTGCCCAACAAATTAACACGATTAAACTTCTATAGTAGCCTGCACTTCTCAATTAATTCGATAGAATTCACGCGTCATTGATTTTTACTCCTGTAATGTGAATTTTCATGCGGCGGAACAACAATAAATATATCTCAGACCCATCGATATGGATTTTGTTCCAGAAAGTTTGTGGAAAGAGCATATGATTTCGTCCATTTAGTATCATTAATGAACGTCACTAATGAACATTTGAACATTTGAAGTATTATATTACAACAAGGAGAGTTCTGCAAATTTAGACATTGGGATCAGTGTATAATAATTATAGGGTATAAATATATATATATTTTTTCAAGATCAGTCGATCATTATTAAATTTAGCTAATGTGACTATAAAAAGATAATCTCAGGTAATTTTTTTTTTTCCTTTAAACACTTGCCATGCATGAAATATTAACTTTGCAGTTTGGGCAATTTGCAAATTTTGTGGGAACACATTTTTGGAATTCTCAGGTCATTATCGTTAGATAAGATATAACATTATTCATTTCAAATATTAATTATATTATTTATACATAGGAAGCACAATTTGATTTTGAAGATAATCCAAATGCTTCTGAACCGGAACTACTTCACGATATTTTATTTCGTGTGGGAGTCACTCAAAGGGTTCGTTACCTTCAATGGTCGGTTTTTTGCGCTTTCAAAAACATTTAACTAAAGTTGATTTTAATACGAAAAGGGTATTGAAACTTTTACACCACGATTATTGTTATATGATTTAAAAGGTTAGTCATATCTTTTAAATGTATCTCCTTTAAATTTAAATCGAAACAAGATATCTAATAATCATTTAATTAGGTGGTTTTGGTTCCCTAAAGAAAATGAATAGGCTTTATGAAGAGACATCTGGGAATCAAGAATCGGAATTACATAATTCTTCTTGGTAAATGATTTTTCTTTATGCTTGCAATTATATTAACCTTTCTTTATAAGTTTATAAGAAATTGATTTTCAATTATATATTAGGGGCTTGCGATCCGAAATTCATGCTCAAATGCCTTATCCAAAGAACGAATATATACAAAGTTTAGAAAAAGAAGAAGTATTTAACTTATGTTAGATTATATTATAATTATTTAATATTTATGCTATTTATCTTTCTCAAAGGAGGAACTGATTTATACAGAAGAATCAAACAGCAGGATGGAAATAGATATCGAAGTCAAAGATTTCAAATTAGACGAAACAGTTCGATATTGGTCTGATTTTAATAGTGTATATTATCACCCCAAAAGTATTAATGCCATAACGCAATATCAATTTGAGGATGAATTTATGCCTTTTGATATTTTCTCATATGGAAAAGGCGCGTTTCTTGAGCATCAAAGGGTAATTGACAAAATTAACAAATTTTAAAATATTATAAAGCATGACTTAAGTGTATTATTGTAAATACAATAGGATTTAGATTCCTTCGAAGAAAATTTTAGGTTTTTTGCTGAAGAATGTGATGCGATTCAGGTAAGTTTATAAACTTAAGGTTAATCACATCATTACTTAGTGACATCGATTACATGAAAATTTAGGGATTTCAAGTATTCACTGGTATAATTGACGGATATGGAGGATTTGCATGTAGCTTTCTTGAGCGATTACGTGAGGAATATCCAAAGACCGCTATTGAGAGCTTTGGAATTACCGAAAATCGAAGCTTGGAACCAAAAGGACATGTAAGCAGGATGGATCAAATAAGTAAAGTTAAATGTTGTAACAACATTAATAAATATTTTCATTTTCTTTTGTCTAGAAATCATATTACAAACAAATATTAAATTTGTCGTTTAGTACTACACAATTGACAGAATTGTCGTCTTTACTTAATATTATAAACACTCCTAGCACGAGATCCTCAATTTTCCGTCCAAATGTACGTTTTATAAAATAATTAATTTCTAATTTTCTTTTTATATATGGCGCGGTTTTCTAATTTAAAAACAACACTTGGATCATATGATCTGCCATGTCTCGCGACTCGATCTTCATAGCAAACGATCCAAACATTCACTCTTCCTAATTAAGATTTATCTTGCCTTACTAGACAAATTTACCATACCACACGAGTGGCGTTGTCTCCGCGGCTATCGAAACGGCAACCTTACCATTCAGGTAAATCATTTATTTTTTATATTTTATTTGCAACAAATCGGTTTAATTGTATTTATTTTCCTAATTTAGAACGCGTCACAATTTTATATCTATGTATGACTTGATAAATCGACTTAATTGGCGCGGAAATACAAAATTAGGGTCGCTTGGTTTGGCACTTCCTTTACCAATCAGTAATTTTGGTGAAGTGGATGTTGATAGGCTGTTGCCGACATCTAATAATAATATCATACAAGATTTATCAATGGCTCTGAATGGACAAGTACGGTAGAATTTAAAGATTGTTATCTATTTTAAATATTATCTAATCCGAATATTCCACAATTTGCTTATAGCACGCAGTAACAACATTAGGACAATCCGTTGTAGTGAGGGGACTACCCGATAAGTTTGAATTTTTTCCAGGGAAAAGTCAAAAAAACGCATCTCAAATTACTGACGAAATTTTCCAGCGGTTCGAGACTTTAAATAGCGGAAGCTCGTCTTTTTTTTCAACTAGCGTTACTTATCCTATTCCAAATTCGTTTCCAAAGATATTTAACCACTTGAACCGTGATGGATATATTGATATGTCGATTCCGAGTGATCAAATACCATCAGTTCATTCGGTTCCTGCGCTCTCGCATCTCACCATTTCCACTAAATCTCACGACTTGCTACAACAACTTGCAAACACACTTCAGAATTTGAATTTTAATCTTTTTCCTGAATATGAGGGAGGAGATAAAGGATTATCGCGTGAAGAGTTTTTGGAAACAAGAGAAGCATTGTGGAGCCTTTGCGAAGCCTTTAAAGAATAGTTCTTCAGAGACCAAAAATTATTATAATTAAGAGGTTTGTTACCTTTTTTTCTTCTCTTCTGCTTATTCGGAATCATTTGTTTACTTTTTTTGCAAGTCGGATTAATTTATAAGCACAATATAAGTTTGATTACATTGTTAAAGTACCAAATTTCTGTCAAATTGCTTAATCTTTTAAGTAACACATTTTATATTTTTATTAAAATATATTATAAATTATGTATTATGTCTTTATTATTTTAGAGAATTATTATTTATTTATGTTTATTTTAATAATTCAAAATATTGACATAAATTTCATTATGAAAAGGAATATTAAGAATTAAAAATTACGAGAATACTATGTACAGACAGCAATGAAGAATTAAGGGATAAAAATATAGTGAAGTTGGAGGTGCGTGAAACAATAAAATTACTTTAATAAATTTTTTTTTTTTTAACGATGAATAAATATTAATCATTATTTAATACTTTTTTTTAAAAAAAAAAAAATGAATATTAATCATTTATTAATAAAGCTGAGGATAGTATCAATTAAAGATAATTTTTAAAAGAAACTTTTGAAAATGGAAGGGGAATTCGGCTTCTTTGTTCCTTTAAAGGAATAACCACTATGCTGAATGAATTCAGATACATAAGAATCAAAATCACTAGTTGAACGTTTTTTCAATACTTGATGTTTGTTATGGATAGCGGTAGAATTTTCCTGGTTTAAATCATCGATATCAGATTCTCCAGAAGTTGAGGAGGAAGTTGAGCATGATAGCGATGGCGATATTGGAGGTATGGTTGCGTCTTCTAATTGTAGTACTAAATTATCATCATGTAAAGTGGTTTTCGGTAGATCTGAAGTTGTATCTTGTATAAATGGTTTATTATTTTCTTTGGTTGTCTCTAATCTAGCAAATGCGTGAGTGGAATGTTTTGTACGGGATTCAGCTAAATAAGTCGCAGGGAAAGAGAAATAATCCTCGTCTCGATGAATATCATGCCATTCCTCATGTCCGGATTTTTCATTTGGTGTTGGCGGAAGGTAAACTCCATTATTCGGGTTTACCTTACATAGTTTAAAATTTTCTTGCTCCTTAGATTCGAAGAAAGGTGGAGGTGGCGCAGGTAAAAACATTGACCCCATCAAGCTCATACGTTTATTATTTACAACGATCGAAATTGGTTGTTGCGACATGTTGATAATAAAGAAATTTTAGGTAAAATTAAAAAATTTTTTTTTATTCTTATTTGTGGAGGAAAAAGAAAAAAAAGTAGACTTGTTGATACTTTTAAACCGAAACTCTATATTTATACATGAATTGTATGATTCTTTTAAAGTTCCACGCGGAAATTTGTGATACGATACGTTTAAAATTTTCATTGTACATGATTTTAAATGATGTGTTACACAATTATATAAATTTATATGTAGTAAATGATTTGAAATAAACCTATAGTAGTAATCGGAGAATATGAAATGAATGCCAATATTAGTCTTGAGGTAATCATCACGTCATGTGTAAATCATGCCTTTTCGTCGTTAAGGCCGAAATCATACGAAAACCAAAAAAAAAAAATTAAAATTAGGCGAGATAGGAAAAATGATATTTATTTCAACCACAACAAAAACTTAGTCATAAACGAGTTATTTATAGCGATAAATTGAATCATGTGCCTTTGGCCAATTTTTTTTTTTTGCCAGCCCAAAGAAATTTCTGAACTTGATTATTAAGTGATTTAAATTATTCGTAATGGTATCTAAATATCATCAATAAAAAAAAGGCAAAATTATTTTTAATTAAACATCTACTTTTCACAAAAATTAAAATAAATGTATTTTTTTTTTTTTTCTTTCATCAGAAATATAATTTTCTAGCGATTGTGTTTTTTTTTATCCTCATCTTTCATCAGACAGCCAAAGGAAACAAATTTTTCATCATATTTTAAAAATTCTATTCTCGAAATAACTCTAATAAAAAAAAAATTTACTTACCCCAACCGAAAAATTCAAACTCATTTCATGAGGAGAGGAAGGGAAGAGAGGGAAAAGAAATAACCTTTTTGATGTTGATCTAAGCCACACGAATTTATCGGGAAATTCGATCACATGCTACTATAGTAGCTTATTTAATTTCCGATGACATGAGAAAATCATCATGCAATAAATTGGTAGGTATTAAAATGTCATAAAAAATTTCGATAAATTAAGCAATCAAAAATCCCACGGATTTCACTCTTTGCGTGATATGATCCCAGAATAGTTTGCAAACACTAAAATTTCTATTTAAAGATTACCCCAGGTACACATAACTTGCGAGAATTTTTTTTTTTTTTTTTTTTTTTAAAAAAAAGACGCGTTCCTTAATATCTAATATCAATTTTCTTTTTTAACCAAAAAAATTGAGTATGGAAAATAACAACGCTATGAACGAATAGTAAGTAAAATATTTTTGACGACGCGTCATTTATTAGAAATATTTTTATTGATTATTCCCTGCATGAATTATCTATTAGTGAGCGTCAACGTCTCGAAAATATTCGTAAAAATGAGGAAATCCTAAAACAGCTCGATATCCCAGAGCTTGTCAACTCTTTTAAAAAACCAAAGCCGAAACCAAGGCCGAAAACTGAAAAAAAACCGACTCAGCCTATGAGAAAGTCTTTGCGCATACGTGGCGTACAAGCAGAAAAACCAGATCCAAAATGGAAGATTGATGGCCAATTTTTAAAAATCGATAAAAAAGCTCGTCTAGAGGGCATTCTTGCCTTGCACACGATTCGTTCCAACAGAACATCAATCGATGATACTAATCAATTTATGGGAATCCTTTCCGATTTATCGAAGGTCAAAGACTCTAGGCAAGACAGTGATGAGGTTAAAAGAAGTCAAACGGACGAGATTAATTTCGATTCTGTTCCGGGTGGTAGGGAGGGTTTAAAGGCGATACGATGGAGATGTCGATCTCTCTCTCTCAAAAGTACTGAAGATTGGTCATCTGTCAAGGTGACTCCTGGAAGGATATATTGTTTGTCCTTTCATCCCTCAAAAGAAAAGATACTAGTAACCGCGGGTGATAAACAAGGCTCTTTAGGTTTCTGGAATGTTAATGAATCGAATGTGGATAGTCATGGCAAAGACGAGTGTCAAACCTTTATGTTTGAAGCCCATACTAGTTCCATAACTTGTTCAAAATATTCTCCTACAAATTCTAATATGCTCTATACTTGTTCATATGATGGTTCGATTCGTTATTTTGACCTAAATAAAGCGAGGTTTATGGAAGCTTTTGTGAATGAAGATTTCACCTATACTCAATTTGATATGGATCCAACTGGGCAAATTATTTACTTTTCAACAAATGAAGGGACTGTCGGAATAAAAGATATTCGAGAGCCCACGAGTGTTTTTACTGGTCACAAACTTCATGATAAGAAGGTCGGGTGTGTTTCTTTGAATCCAAAATGTCCCGAACTAATGGTTACCGCGTCCTTGGAAAGGAAAATGTGTCTTTGGGATGTTCGCAAGTTGGGACCGGATAGTACCATTCAAGAATGCACATTCACTAATGCCGTGTCTAGCGCATATTGGAGTCCCACGGGCGATAAAGTGGTCTCAACCAGCTTTGATAATTTTATACGGGTATTTAATTATGATGAAGAAAGAAAACTAAAAGAGCGCATACAAATCCCACATAACAATCAAGTAGGAAGGTGCGGGTAAAAAATTTAATGTTCGTTTTCAAATTTCATGTATACGTTCATATGGGTTAATGTATTAGTAAATCTTCTGTAAAGGTGGGTCTCTGCGTTTCACGCCAGCTGGAATCCAAATCCAAATTTGCATCCCCACTTTATTGTTGGCAATTTGAAAAGATCAGCTGATATATATTCAGCAGTGACCGGTGATTTGATTTGGAATATGCGTGATGAGAGATTGACTGCCATACCAGGTAAAACGAATTTAAACATCATTATTAATTTGTTTAAATTAATTTCAACCTTTCTGACAAGTATTGATGATCACATCAAATCAGCTATTAACGCTTTTCACCCAAAATTGAACTTGATTGTTGGTGGAGCTTCTAATGGTAAAGTGGTAGTTTGGCGTAAGTATTATATGGATTTTCTTTATTTGAAAATTTGTAATATGACCAAATAATTAATGATGAATTTTTCTTTTTTTTTTTATATTCAGAAGAGAAACGAAAGGTGACCCCTGTTATTGTAATTGATTAAAAATTTGAAAACTTTGTTGTATGATTATTAAGATGTAAAATATAGGTAATGTTACAGGACGAGTAATAAATTTTGAATTTGATAAAGGTTTGATTTATGTTTATATATTTCTTTCATTTTTTTATATGATCAATTAAATGTTTTTATATAATATAACTGCTAGTCTTTACATTGTAAGGATCAAAGTGATTACTTTATTTATATATAAGATAACGAATCAATATGATAAATTTAGATTCTCAATGAGACAGAGTTAGGATAAATTAAAAAAAAATTTATATTGAAATCAAAGTCATATAACCACCTATCTCAAGATCTATGCAAAGCTCTGCTTAGAAATCAAAGATTAAAATTTAAATCCCTTGGATTTTCTTGTAAGGATCCCGTATCATTCCTGTATTACTCCTGAGAATGCGATATGAATGATACTCTCTTGCATGACGAGATCATGAGCCATACTCTTTTAGTCCAGATGTGATCTAATTGAGGATATAATAGTATGTGATTAAACCAATTTTTCTATACCTGTACTGTTGCTTCTTGAATAACTCACAAAGAATCAGATCGAAATGCTATTAAAAAGGGAAAATAAAAATTTTTTCATCATATGCAATATCATGCAAAAGTATCATGTGATGAACCACAAAAAAAATTTTTCGATAAATAGTGTAACGAAAAAATGCACTTTTTATATTTTAGTCATACCTGGGGGGTTTGGAAGTATCCCCAATTTGGATTATTTAAACATTATCGATTTATCAGTCTATCAGTTCCTTTGCAGATAAATTTATAAAAGCTAGAATGCGTAGGATCGTAAAAATGTTGTGATGCTTCAGCACTCATCCTTCATTTATTTTCCGCGAAAAAAAAATTTATTCATAGAATTTTAGAGGAAGAAAAAAAAAAAAAAAAAAAAAAAAAGAATAAAAATTTTTAAAATAGCTATTTATTCATTGTGTTGTTAATAGTTTTGTCCTTTCCGAGACAAAAACATCTCATAAAAATCGTCATATTTATAGAGTCTGTATCCCCCAAACACACTTATACAGGTTATTATTTGTCTGATTAAAACACGAGAACTTCAAAGACGTTATGTTATCACCTGGGTCATAGATAACACTAATATAAACAATACCATTTTACTACCAAAGTCTCAACAAAAAAAAATAAAAAAGAAAAAAGTATAAAGTATAAAGCTCATAATTTAGTAAAATACAAAACAAAAAACGAAACGAATTATAATCTTTATATTAAAAATCATATAGAATATTATTAAATAATTCCTTTCCTTATAAACTCCGACCCCATTTTTTTTTTTTTTTCCCTGTAGCCATATTCCCATATTCCCATTTACCGTTATATAGATTAGTTAAAAAATAAAAGTAGAAATATGTCTTCATATATAGTTAATCCGCAGCTTGGGCAAAGTTCACAAGTTTCAAAACATATGTCTACCAGTATGCCAACACAGTCCATAATAACCGAGAAACCTTCTTCAATGGAGTATATCGATCCTTCACCACGAAATCATAATGGAAGCGTTTGTAGTGGTGATATTTCAAATAATATACAACCGGAACTGAGGCAACAGCCACATCAGCCACAGCCACCACAAAAACAGCAACCGTTAGTTCCTCATGCTAAAAAGTTGGTAGACAAGTTCGCTCCAAGGAATATGAAAAATAAATCTGATAGACAATTAATCGTAGAGACCGCTTATTGTAATTGGAATGGAAAAAAGGACGGTACACAGGTAAAATCAAAAATCTTAGTTATCAAGATGATTATTATTACTACTACTTTATTATTATCATTATTATAATAATTATTATTATTGTAATTTTAATAATATGTAATATCCCGAGATTTTTTTATTTTTTTGAAAGGAATTAATACACAATTTCACAATATAATCTATTTCGATTAACCTGAGCGATTACAAGATGGATCACGTTTAATTTCTACGAAAAAAAAAAAAAATAAAAATAGGTGTTAATCTATTTTAATCTTTTAAATAGTCGTCTAATAAAATGGTAGAAAATATGAAACCTTTAAAAAAGAAAAAACGCGCGCCAATCAACATTACCGAAGGTGGGCGTATTTTCCATTATCTCCGGTGATAATTTTGGGTTTTATTTTTTTGTTTTTGCCCACTGTTTCATTGTATTCGATGAAATACCATTTTATTTAATTTAAATTTAAATTTAATTGGTATGCGTTACACAGGAATGTCACGAGCTGATATATTTGCTGCCAATGTAGCTAGTGCCGTAGATGCCGCTGAAGGTAAAGAGTATTACGATGTTTAGTGATCCTTTTTTGTAATACATTATTTTTTTTAACGTACTTTTTTTCTTGCTCTTTTCTTCTAAAAAAAAAAAGATGCTGATGAAGAGGAGGATTATATATATAGTAACGGTCACTCTCGCACACCTTCATTGACAAGTTCATCTTATGGAATGCCACAGTTACAATCATATCCATTCCCACATCCACATATGCCATCCGATAACAATTATGGATATCCATTTCACATGCCTTCGAATATATACGGTGCGATTCCCTCACATCGTTCGTACAATAATTATTTAAATCGTCCTCCATTTTATGGTTATTACAACGGAAATTCATCCGGATCTGACACGGACGACATGAATTCAAATCAATCGAGTGGTTCACAACACAATACTTATAAGCCAACCGGAGTTATGCGATCTTCATTACCTGATATGTCTCAATATGTGGCTCAATATAAAAAAGGATACCCTAATTATGGTTCTACGAATTATCTTTATAATGGTTGGTACGGTGATGAGGAGAGATTACCATTATTTGCTAAACCACCAAAATTTGAAACGCCTCAAAGGTAAATATCAGAAATTGAGATGTCTTTAAAAAATTTTTTTTTTTTAATACAAGAAACTTATCCAACGATTATTATAATTATTTCTCTAGTCAATCATTTTGTACAGCATCCTCCTCATTAACAGCATTCATCTTGTTTCTTATGGTGTTCTCTTATGTAATATATTTTACATCTACACTCCCATTAACGGATGTTAGCATTATTGATATATCAGATGTCCTTGCTGCCGACAAGGAACTTATGTTTAACATTCATGTGATGGGTCGTAATTTTGGTCTCTGGAATGTTGAGATCGTGCATTCAGACCTTAATGTTTTTGCCACGCCTGTTAATAATAATAATGCGCCTGGTTGGATTCCCGGTGGTCCAGGAAGTCACTGGGATGATGTCAAAAATCAAACTTTAAATGATGTTACGCCTAGTGAATTTTTAGGAAGTATACTTTTATTCGATGAACCACTCGTATTTGCTGCGGGTGTTAATCGAAAGGGTGTGGTAAGTGAACCATCGGGACAAGTTAGGTTGCGAAATCCCGGTGGCGAACATGACAAAGAAGGTCAAGACAGATGGTAAGTGTAAATCATCGTAATGTCTTTAGTTTATTTATCGTATTCTCTTGTTTATTTGTTATTTCTGATTTTGATAGGTCACATATTTTAAGGGGTCAATATGATTTAACCGTGCGTGGAGTTCTTAAATATAGTTTACCATTCTCTAAACATCATGTTGTTCGAGTTTGTTATGCAATAAGGGTAGATGGCGGTAGTGGTTCAAATGGTGAAGCTCAAGTTGGTGATGACGATGACACGCTTTTATCAAGTAATACCAATGTCATATTAGGTGCTTGTGGTGATTGGGAAGAAGAATCAGAAAAAATGTTAACAAGTGATGAATCATTGTAAGGAAAAGAAAGAAAAAAAATATGTATATTATGAATTAATTTTAATAGGTTCACATGTTCATATTAGATATTTTATTTTACGTCCTTTGCAAGTTGTACAGTATTTCACCTTTTTAAAAAATTCCTTTTTTTTTTTTTTTTTTTTTTTTTTTTTTTCAAGGATATTTTTTTTTTGTCCGATAAATATAATTCTTTTTGGTTTTTTTTTTTCTCCCTTTTTTTTTTTTTTTTTTTTTTTTTTTGTATTTCGATTTTTTTTTTAAAAAAAAAAAATTTCCTTTCATACACAAATAAAACATTCTTTGGTTGATGTAAAGGTTACATAATAGAACTTAATTTTTATGAATTATGAGAATAGTATTAAGTGATGACTTCCTTGTCTTGCTTTAAAATAATATAAATATAAATCAAGGTTAATTTATGTATAGATTCTTTGAAGCATTGGTTATAAGATCAATAAACATAATTGAATTTTTACTAGGTATTGAAGAATCAAATAAAACAGATTTTATAATATAATCAATTATACTCTTGAATCTCATTTATATTACTTAACAACAAAAAATAAATAGTTAAACTAAATAATTTTTTTTATATGAAAAATTAGAAAATCAAAATTCAATGTCTAGTATAAAGAAAATAAATTCTGCTTACAGAAGGCCCAGATAGTAAAAGTAGAATATCCAAGCTTCTGAAATGACAACTTTCGTGATTTTCTTTAAAAGAAATGATAAGCTACCTTTGAAATATATTGCAAACGGGGGACTAAGAAAGCGCTATCTATCAATAAAATGAATGTTACCAAATTCCTAAACATCATTTAACTTTTATTTTTGTAAAATCAAATTATAAGTTTTACATTTTTCAAATTCAAATTAATAACAAGCATAATTTAAACTATATACAAATTATTTAATATTCTACTGGATCGTCCTTGCTATCAACCGTATCTACAACATCCTTGGTCGGAGTATCTTCATTACTCGCATCATTCGTATCCGTGCATTCATCTTCATTATTGATTGGCATCTCTACAGCGTTTTTCGTCGTTTCCGCTATACTAATATCCTCATGATCTTTTTCTTTAACTTTCTCGGAAGGATTTAGAACTTTTAATTCTGACTGATCTTCTTCCATTTTTGTATCATCAGGATTTTCCTCAATTACTTCCTTGTGTTGACCCACTACATTGGATTGTTCAATCATTATGAGATCTGTTTCTTCGGCATTATTTTCTTTCTCATTTGTTGAGATTACATCTTGTATGTCTGGTTGTATTGAAGGAGAAAGTGTCAACGCTAAATGGCGTTTCTGTACCGCTATAGTCTCCAGCATTGGTTGAGACAATCTAGCTGGAAGATAATATAACGGAGGTTCGGAAGTGGTGCAAAGAAAGTTGGCTAGATTTCTCTTTTGATTCTTCCAACATTCTTTCTATTAAATCAAAATTTCGGTAAGGTGAATAATATTGAATTATATTTTCTACAAACAATTATTATGTATGATCTTTACCAAATCATTAATTCTTCTTTCTTCTGCCTCTCTTTTCTCT